TAGAGGTATTAAATCAAAATACTCTTGAATAGGCTCATAAAATGTTATTTATCAATAAGGGCTAGAGGGGTAGTACTGATGGTAAGGAGGGCGGACTTACCGAAGAGAGTCAGGAATTTTGACGGAGAATATGGTGGTATCGTTGACAAGACGTTGGTAAGCCTTGTCACGAATGGTGAGGAAGGAGGGATCGTTATGGAAACACTCCTCAATCATGGAGGAGAATCGATTAAACAGGTCTAATAGAGTGTTAACATACCGATCAGCGTCCTGAAGCAAAAAAAATGACAGCAAATGACTGGTTAAAATTTAAAATAAAGCAGAATCCAATAGGTAGCAGAGGCCATTCATAAAAACAATACAGGCTAAAATCATGATGCGGTAGAATGACATTCCGAAAGCGAAATGAGCATTACACTTGTGGCAGTAATGGCAAAGAAGACACGGACGCTGAAAAATGGAATGGAGGCATCTCCAAATAACGTAGAAGTGGGCGGATAAAGATGGTTAATGAAAAGGATGCACCCATAACCACCACTAGGTGTGCGACTGAAAACCATGGTGAATGATGGGAATTAATTGTGGTGACTTGGATAATTAGCACATACACTAGACATTTTGAGGACCTTCAATTACATTGATGATTCTTAAGAAACTGAAGTTGCTGAGTCTGATCACGCGTTCACAATCTTAAGGAAGAAAATGTGTTCATTGTAGACCGAAACCCTCCCCCCAGTGCTACTTCCATCAATCACAGATCGTGACACTCAGGAATGACAAAGACAGAAGGAATCTTCCCACAACGATGCTAATTCATCGGATCATTTAGTCTCCTGCTGCTAAATAAGTGCGACTAAAAGATCAGAAGTTGGTACGAGGAAAGCTGATAACGATAGTCAAAAGCAAATTAGGATTGTGGGACAGAAGTTTGATGGCAATGCTGCAATGCAATGGGTCCCACTCTTCATCCTTCGCGTCAGTAACACAGATTGCCACATAAGCAAGTGTTCGTATGTGCGTAGACCATACAACGATGATACAGGGACTAAATGAGTACCATTAATAAGGGACGTCAATGCACGTTGCACTACCTAGGCGCTACGTAACAACGCTATTGAAGAGCAACGCCTAAAGCAGAAACATTCAACGGAGTGTCCGAACCGTTCCAACGCTTGGCTGCCATCCAAGTCCTAAAGTCTTTTAGACTAGGCGGACAATGACTACGATTAGAGGACCGGATGTACCTTTTCAAGCCTAAAGAAGCTAATAGAAAATCGGAATGGCAGGGGAACAGGATTCAAGTGCTAAGTCCTCGGAATCTTTGAGTAAAATTTGATCA